GGAACATTTCTACACTGCTTCAGAGCTTTAACAAAAAGCATTCAGCTCTATAATCAGAAAACACATACTTAAAAAGACACAAGCTTCCGGATGTTTCGGTACGGAGATGGAGGGTGGAACTCCTACCTCCTACAGAAAGTCCCAGGATGGGCCCTGACTTCCCCTGGAAAAGCCAAGGGACACTCCACTGCCTGCTCACCATCAGCTGCTACTGCAGAAGCTGACTAGCCAGGAACGAGTTAGGGGACAAAAACTGATCTCAGAACCCAAATTTTTTGTCATTTTTCCTGCTGGTGGAGAAACAAAATGGATCTGGCTAAAATTTCAGGATTCAAAGTTTAGCAGCTTGTAGGACCTTTTTAAAACTATGGGGTGCACAGTTGAGAAGGTGTGAAACAGCCTGGCCTCCTGGTGTCTCAGCCACCCGCCCAGGCCCTGGAAGGCTCCATCTGTGGCTCCAGTGTGGCTTTCAGTACTCTCCCCCAGGGTTTCCAATGGCTCCCCCACCCATAAGAAATGAAAGCAGGTAAAAACAGCTTGAGAATGCAGCTGCTGTGGGCCTTACCTTTGCTCCCCCAGGACCGCTCGAGCACCAAAATACCGTTTCAGTTCTGTGTCTGGATTCAAGTGTCTAGAATGTGGGAAATGTGAGCAAGAAAAATTGAGTCAGGCTTTCCTACAATGACCTGAAATTGCAGAAAGCTAAGTAAGAGTGCAGCCAAAGAACAATGATTTGGGGCTTGAAAGGTGATTTCTAGGCCTGCTTTCTTTAAATCTGCCATCTGCAATAGGACCTGACCACTACTGGCCCCATGGGGCAGCCAAGGGATGCAGTGGGTCACTGCTAGGAGAGAACCTGGGGTAGGTCTCCCCTGCGGGTCCAGTGTTCATCTGCCAGGCTTCGTACAGGGAGCATGCACCCTGACGCGGAGTGGAGGGCCTCAACGATACAGGCAGCTTGCTTGTCAAAGCTGGCAAAGATCAGGTTTCAGTAAGCACCCACCAGACCAAGAGATGGGTGATCGTCTGAAGGTGACACTACACTGGTACAGCTCAAAACGCCTCATGAGACATACAAAGGCAAGCTGTTTGGAAGTCCTGAGCTGGGCATGATGGTGCCACACCTGGGTCTACTCAGAGGCCAAGGCAGAAGGACTCCTTATTAGAGGCTGGTCTCAGCTACTTAGCAAGCCCTAAACAAGCTAACAATACCCGGTCTCAAAATCAAAAATAAAAAGGAGCCAGGTGCAGTGACGCTCGGGTATAATCCCAGCGTCCAGGAAGATCGAAAATTTGAGGACCGCCTCAGCAAATTAGTGAGGCCCTAAGCAACTTGGTGAGATCCTGCCTCAAAAAAATAAAAAGGGCTGGGGATATGGCTCAATGGTAAAGCACCCCTGGGTTCAATCCTCAGTACCAAAAAAAAGTCCTTTGAAACATAGATGTCTTTTCCTTACTTCTTTCTCCTTTTTTCTACTTCCTAAATGTTTAATAATGAACTCTTAACACTTCTAAATAAATAAAGACAGCAAACTGTCATCTTTCTAAATCACTCCTCCCCGTCAAAATCAGAGGCCGAGGCCATACCTGTGCTCCACATACAGGACATGCTTCCTGGAGCTCAGTGGTGGGGGACCCGGGCGGCTGAGCCCACTGCCATCCTCAATCCTCTCCAAGATGCGGTCGATATCCTCCATCCCACTTTCCTAAAAGCCCAGAAGGAACTGTTAATCGCCACACTGGCTTCACTCCAAGTGCTGTGACAACCAATAACAAGGAGTTACTTTGAAAAGTCATTTGGTATGTACTTTCTAAAAGATGATCTAACTCAGAAGGAGGAGATGTATTATAGGAGGAAGCTCAGAACCATCACTAATCCAGAAGGCCCTGGGAACCATCGGGCCAGAGAGCCACACTTCATGTCTCACAGGTGAGCTCACATCCTCAGCTGAATGGAACTGGGACCTGTGACTCCAACTGAAGAGCAACAAAGCTACCACCTCTCTTCAGGACGAACAATGAGACAAGGAGGATCAAGGCAAGAA